TATATATATAAACATAAATAAATAAGCGTTAACTTTTTTATTGATTGAAACTTTTTCTTTAAATTGACAAAGCGGAAGCATTCTCTCTTTTTATTCTATTCATATTTTCTTGCCGCTTATTGTTAGTCGCGGTTTCTCGTTAGGAAGAAAAATATCGAGACTACACTTCGTCAGGAAGTAAGACTGCCAAGATGAGATTAAATAGCTTTCTTCATTTGCCGCATGAGCATTCTCATCGGAAACGCGCTTTCGTCCGTGTGAAGTCTGTGGAAGTTGTCCCGTAGAATATGTTACTGGAAAAGCTCATCTTGATCTCGGAATTAAGGATGAAGTTTGTAGACGCTAAAGTTTCACGATAAGGAAAAGCTGAGAGAAATAGTTGTCCTTCGACAACAGGCGCTTTGTAATTCAGACTCCCGAGGGTCGTACAGATCCTATTCGACCCTGCAGCTAAATTTTATAGCAAAGATATTATATATCCTGATATCATTTTGAAATGCATTATCACGTAAAAAACATATATAATTTTTATACAATATATAGAAATAAAAATTATATACGTTTACAAAATTAAATCATTTAAAATTGCAAAGATAATATTTTTGTATTAATCTAAATCAAGTTTTAATTATTGTACCATTTTCTATTTTCCATTTTTCTTGTCAATTAAATCGTACGAAGAAAAAAATATCGCTTAGCAAAAATCGTTATATTTATCTTACAGTAATTATTAAAAAATATAAAAGCAATCGTTATTATATTTTAATTTATATCGAAGTAATTATTATATTAATTTCTATTTCTCTTATATTTAGATTTCTGTCTAATTAATTATAAAAAGTAAGACATATTGATTATATATAAAATTATTATTCTAATTTGGATCTTGAGAGTATTAATTTAACTTTTTGCTGATTTTATTATATTGCGTTATGTTATTATCATCTATAAAATTAGAATGCAGAAATTATTTTGCAATATTTAACACATGTTAACTTTCGTTTACAAATGTTTTATATTTTATCGAAGGACAAGGAGGAGGAGAAGAATGACATTGCTTGTGTCTGCAACTGCAGTCGTGCGGTCTGCATAAGTGGCACTTATGAGAGCAGCCGTCCATGAATTTCGCTGCTCTTATACGTGCTCGCGAATTCTAAGTATGTACACGTGTATCAAAGAGACTTATATATTTACTTTGAGTAACTTTATTGGTTTCGTCGCTTTGGCTTATTATTCGTACTTTTATATGACATAGTCAGCCCGTTACGGAACTTATTGCGGCCCGATTACCTTTCTTACTTCTTTGTCATGACTTATTGCGAATTCTAAAAAGAAATTTTAATAAAATGGAACAGTAGCTTTGGGAAATATCAGCTTCCATTGGGGAAGCTGCCGCTGACAAGCTGTTCGATATCTCACGTTTAATCCGACTGTATTTCGAATTTCATTTCGGGTTGTCAATGTTCTCTGTTATGTTTTCAGTTCGAAATTTAACAATCATAGACGATGTTCTTGTAAAATAAAGTAGTAACTATTTCTTTAATTTTTTTAACTTTGGCCACAATTATAAAGCTCAATTATTCTTTTAAAAGAAAGTTGGTAGTAATAAAAGTGAAAGGAAATTAAATTAGTAATGTATTAAAATTATTATAAAAATAAATATTATTTTTCAAAATAATTTTTAAATTTATTTTTTGCTATATATAGAACGTTAATTTTTGGGAATGCTCTATACTTATGATGACTAATGTTGTATTTCAGTTTTATCATTGTTTGTGTGTCGGGTCTGTATAATTTGTATTCGTAGTAAATTAAAAATAAAGTTCATCCACGTGCGAAATAAAATGTTCTTTTCGTGAGATACATTATTTCTTGATAAAATATTATTTTAATAAAATGCTTTAGATTTATGACAATGTTGGGCTTTATGTTACTCACCCTTCGATAAATGGCCGTATTAAAAATCACCAATGCGATGAACGGGAACATGTAATACACAAAAAAATACATCCAATGAATGTATAGAATGACATAATATTCGTTGCTCCTCAATTCGGTTGGATCAACGCAGTACACCGTGATATTATACTTCCAATGCTTCTCGTTGTATACCTCAATTTCCCAGAATCTAAATAATTTCAAAAATTAATTTCTCTATTAATTTGCACAATAATTACAAATTCTGTTGCAATCAATTGTAAGCATAAGATATTTTTTAGATATTCTTTTCTTTTCATCGTTTCTCTCACTACAAACATTTTATAATATGTCTCGTTCTAGCTAAACAATAGGAAAAATACAAAATTTTAATACGTTTATTTAAAACAAAATTTAAATCATAGGGTTCTCGAAATTCAAAATAATAATAAAGTATATGGGAACCGAGAGCGTTAATACAGCACGGAAATTAGTGGGCAATTCATATAATATTTATATAATATTCACATAATATATTAATAAATCTACAATAAGTGTCGATACAAACTTCTTGGAAAATTATTCACAATTTTTTTGATAATGGTTTAAAGTAAACCGTACTGTCCAAAGACGTTTGTATCGACACTCATTGTATCATTATGTGAATATTATATGAATATTATATGAATTACGCACCAATTTCAGCACTTTTATTGCCCGTATATTTTATTATTATTTTACAATTATTTTAATTAAAACTTCCTTTTTCTATACTAATTTTCTTTTTAACAATTATAAACAAAGAAAAAACATTGAAAACATTAGCTCGATTACTCACTTGGGTAGATTGTAAATAAAAGCGATGATCACTATGATCAGCACTGCCACTTGGGCCCGTCCATAAGTGCAAAAGGATCTAGCTTTCAATGGATGGCAGACCGCGATGTATCTCTCTAAAGTCACCGTTAACGTCAGATACACTGTCACAAATTGCGCTATGCAAGCCAACGGATACAGGTATCTGATGGTTTTCGGATAGATGATAAACTTGTAGTCGAATAGCGCGCCCGTATACGTGTAGATTGCTGGTAATCCGTAGATTAATACCTATAAATGCACAATTTATAGATACAATTAAAAAAGGTAACGGCTTCTTATAAAGGGTGTTAAAAAAACCATTCAGCATTTATAATATATGGTATACGTCATATTGAGTAAAAAAACTTTAGTGAACATAAGTCGAAAACTTAACGATTTCCGAGATATAAATAATTTTATATGTTAGTATCGTGACTCTAATTTATTGTCTCTTTAGTTTTTTTTTAACATTCTGCATTCAAAGTGTATTAAAATTGGTAATTGTTGGAATTTTGTTTTCCAATTGCATACATTTGATAGAATCTAATTATTTGTTATAAAGTGCGATTATATTTATAAATATGTAACGCCTTTGCTCGCGATGTTTGACAGATGAGTATAAATAGTTTGTTAGGAAGACGGAGTGCAAAGTCGACGCTAGAACGAAAAGTTCATTTCAAATAATTAATTAATTAGTAATCAGGTTGGTATGTGTAATGCGATCTCGAGAGAGTTGACGGAATTCTGCTCCATGCTTCAGTTCATCTCTTTTAAACCAAAAGATCCTGTTTATCGTGTTAGTCCTATTAGTCTTGACTTTATCCACGAAAATGTAAGACCGCGTAACACGTGATTTATTTACCTAAACTCGACGTGTGATCCATATTATTCTATGTCATCTTAACATGCTATGCATTTTCAAAGACATGAATTCTTCTCCTCTGTATCGCGAATTTATATTGACAAAGATTGCTACGAAGATGATGTAAAATTATTCTACATAAAAGAGGTAAATCTTTTATGAAATTTGTTCTTTATGATACTTTTTATTATCGCAAGACATAGATTAGAACATACAATAAAAGTTGTTTTATTCTATATCATAAAATCTTCGAAAAGTAAGTTTTTTCTATTTTTCAACCTACTTATAAAATTTTTTAAAAATTTGGTTATGTATATTTCATTATCTTTTTAAAATATGACTTTTTAAAATAAAATACATACATATATGTATAATATATAATGTATCACAATTAAACACGCCATAATTTATTTAGTTTATTTTTAACCCATACTATCTGGAAAATAAATGTATTTTTCTAAAAAATTTTTTTTTAATTAACAATAAATTTTTGAATTTAGTCGAGCAAATTACAAAATTTACTAAAATCGTTCCTTTAACAATCTTCATAACAAGCTTTCTTTTATATTTTTTCGATTTATCTGAAATTTGTAAAGTCATACAAACACATATATACATTTGAAATAAAAATGCGAGAGCATATAGAGATAAAGATATAAATTACATGTTTAGCGAAATAGCTGAAATTATAGAGAAATTATAGAGAAAAAGCAGAACGCGCACTACTGAGTTATATTAAAGAGAATTTATTTTAATGAAAAGCTCGGCTATGTCGGAAATTTACGATTGCATGAAACACGGGAATTAAAAGTAAAATTAAAATGAGAGTTGATCTACGGCTGATTTCTACGACAAGGTATTATAATCTGTAGTGGATATGTTTCACGAAAATTGAATTTCGACATTTAACACTTGTTATCAGACGTCATATTTTTCAGGCCGTTAATTACTTTTGTTTGGCAAAGATTAATTAATTGTCAGATTCAGATATAAGGATGAATTTCGCATTTTTAACTCGTTAAAGATATTAGCTGGTGCAAAGAACGTCTCAATACAGCATTTCAGTTAAAAAATTTAATGGAAAAATACTTTTCACGTATAAGATACTAATTGAATTAATAAAAAAGAACATAAATTGATAAACATGTACAAATCAATCTTATAAAGTTAAACACTACACTTTTTTTTAATTATCTTTATTATATTACCTAATTCTTAAAATTTAATTATATTTCTTTGCTTCATGTTTTAAATTTAAAGAAATTTCTAGATATTATTTTTGTTAAATTTCAATTTTTTTGACATTTAATATTAAATATATAAAAAGTGATTCTTGAATTAAAATTCCATTGAACGACAATTTGTCTCAAGTTAAATACCTAAAAAATAAAATTATGCAATGATATGTATAGCTAATTCATGGAAGACCCTTTTCAGAATTTCAAACTTACTAACGCGTTAACACCGAAATAGGTTTAACAAACAACG